AAGATGGTTTGGAAGGAAACAGTAAGTTAAGGGTATCTGAGGTTAAAATAAAGCACAGGCAAAACCACTCTCAGAAAAAAAGTCCTCTACAATAATTGCAAAATGCAAACACAGGCCTAGGACTTGGTAATTGATAGCACCAACTACAGGAAAATGTGTGAAAGGGAGGGACCAGAAGTAGCAGCATTGGCCTAGCATTGCTCCCACAAGAGGAGAAGAGAACAGGTGCACCCCTTGGAAATGTGGCAGTGAGGGGGAAGAAGGAAGTAAGGAGAAAATAGGGGGTCCCTGAGAAATAAAGGAGAAACAAGGCATGGCAACTCATCTTCCCACGGCCCATTAGAGAAGCTCCTCTTTACTAGCCTGCAGGAGTGAATGCTCACAACTAAGAACTCTATTCACAAAATGCCCGGAAGTAGAAACAAGTCTAATGCTATACAAAGCTACTTCAAGGGGAATGCAGAAGTTTGAATGAGAACATTTTAGCTGATGGAAAGGAGAGGAAAACAAGACATAAGACAAAGGAAAACTATATATCTCAGTGCTCCAACCAAATAAAATATTCTCAATAAAATTTGTAGACATAGTTTTTTTTAAAAAAAAAAAAAAAGGAGGGGAAGAAATACAAACTTAGTGACAAAAAAAAAAAGGAAAAAATTCAACAAGATTTGATTGAACTCAGGAAAGAAATTAAAGAAAAAGGCAAAGCCACCTCAGAAACAAAGATTGCGGTAAATCCCTCCTTATCCATGTTTTCTCTTTCTACAGTTTCAGTTATAGTCAACAGCAGTTCAAAAATATTAAATGGAAAATTCCAGAAATGAGCAATTCATAAGTTTTTAATTGCAGGCCATTCTGATTAGTTTGATGAAATCTCCCACCATCCTGCTCTGCCCTGGCCAGGATGGAGATAATCTCTGTCAGGATATCTACACTCTATACGCCACCAAGCCGTTAGTCACTTAGTAGCTGTCTCGGCTCTCAAATCACCTCACCGTGCTTACGTTCAAGTAACCCTTTTTTTACTTAATAATGACCCCAAAGTGTAAGATTTGGTTATAATTTTTGTATTTTACTGTTAATCTCTTATTGTGCCTAATTTATAAAGTAAACTTTATCATCGTATGTATGTATAAAAAACATATATAGGGTTTGGTACTATTTGTAGTTTCTGACATTCACTGGGGAGTCTTGGAATGTATCCCCCATGGATAAGGGGGAACTACTATACATTAATTACAAGATACCCACAGGAGTAAAGTAAAAATCTAATAAGAGCCACCCATAAACGGAAGGAAAACAACCAAGAGAATGTAGGAAGTAGCTTAAATCCTATTCAGGTAAAAGAATACTCAACATACTTATAATTAGAGTCTCTGAAGAAGAAAAATGAATCACTAGAACAGCACTAACTAAATCATAATCCAAGGAAACTTTTCACAGAAATAATAGAAAATTGAAAGCTTCGTATTAAAAAGCCCCACCTTGGACAATTCAGTCCAGAACTACTCTGAGTTATAACCTAGTAAAACTGTTAGATTTTATTTTATTTTATTTTATTATTTGATTTGGAGTTTCACTCTGTCGCCCAGACTGGAGTGCAGTGGCCGCTCCTGGCCACCGCAGCCTCGACCTGCTGGGCTCCGGTGATCCTTCCGCCTCAGCCTTCCAAGTAGCTGGAACTACAGGTGCGCACTGCCATGCCTGGCTAGTTTTTTTTTTATTTATTGTAGAGATGAGGTCTCGCCAAGTTGCCCAGGCGAGTCTCAAACCCGTGGGCTCAGGCAATCCACTCACCTCAGCCTCCCAAAGGCGCGGGATTACAGGCTGAGCCACCGAGCCCGGCTAAACTGTTAGATTTTAAAGACAGCCTGTTTCTCTGGGCATCCTGATGGGGTAAAAAGATTACATTATTAATAAAAGAGAAGTAGGCTTACATTAGATTCCCTAAGGACAATATTCAAAGGAAGGCTACAGTAAAGCAGCATGTTTAAAAACTCAAAGAAATAAAGTGCAAGCTGGCCAGCCTGTCTTTCAGGTACCCAACAGTTTCAACATGCAAGAATTGAGGAAATACTTGATGAGAATTGAATATATTTAAATGTAGATTCAAGACTTAAAGCAGTGGTGGGAACATTAGTGTAATTTTTATATGTTGTGACAAAGATAGCACTAAAAATAAGTGGGTGAAGAGGAAAAGAGAAAAATGAATAATTCTCTATAATATAGGTAATAAGTAGGAGTCACAGGATATCATATAAATGGACAGACCAGATAGTAAAAGGTTAAGTAAACCAAAAGGAAACTTAGGTTACTCTAAACCACACACAAACACCAAAAATAGGCAAATTTTTCTAAGTACCAAATGAAAGTACAAAAATACCAGAAATCCCACACAAAAGGAAAAAAGAATAAGTATGAATAATAGACATGGTAGTTATAAAAGAACACAAAGTTAAGCTCAGACTTACAATCATATCAATAAACATAAATGGACTTAAAAAGATTTTCAGGTGGCTTCATGAAGCAAAGACCAATTCTATACCTTATATAAGAGACATACCTGAAAATGATTCAAAAGGTTAACAATAAGGGAATGTAGCCGGGCTCGGTGGCTCAGCCTGTAATCCCGCGCCTTTGGGAGGCTGAGGTGAGTGGACTGCCTGAGCCCGTGGGTTCGAGACCTGCCTGGGCAGTGAGATCTCATCTCTACAATAAATCAAACATCAGCCAGGCGTGGTAGCGCGCGCCTGTAATTCTGGCGACTTGGAAGGCTGAGGCGGGAGGATCGCCGGAGCCCAGCAGGTCGAGGCTGCAGTGGCCAGGAGCGGCCACTGCACTCCAGTCTGGGTGACAGAGTGAGACTCCAACTCAAAAAAAAAAAATAAGGGAATGTACAAAGATATTATAGGCAAAGGGAAATAATATAAAGTCAGGGGTTGCTATCCTGATAGACAAAGTGGAATCCAGGCAAAAACCATTAAACATGGCCAAGTACACTTATGGTGTTTAAAGCCAAAACTCACAATGAAGTTCTATTTCTTAGTATCTGTGCACAAAATAACAGTGCAAACACCTAAATATACCAGAATCGCTAGAGCAGAATACAGGAGAATGCAAGAAACAGTAGAAACACATAACAGGAAATGTTTCCTCTGTCACAGCACAAATCTGGTGTGCCAAGATGTTCAGATCATGCTGTGCATTTCCTGTCCCAAACCTGGAGACAGCCACTTCTTCAAGGACTCTTGGTTTCTTTGGGTGGGAAGTGATAATAGGAGCTCACAGGCTTTGTTTAATATTAGGAATGCTCACTTATACTGGGTTTGTCTTTGTTTCTAGGCTTTTACTACGAGGACATTTTATTTCTTTTTATTTTATTTTATTTTTTTGAGTCGGAGTCTCACTGTGTTGCCCAGACTGGAGTGCAGTGGCCGCTCCCGGCCATTGCAGCCTCAACCTGCTGGGCTCTGGCGATCCTTCAGCCTCAGCCTTCCAATAGTTGGAACTACAGGAGCACACCACCATACCCGGCTAATTTTTTGATTTATAGTAGAGATGAGGTCTTGCCAAGTTGTCCGGGCAGGTCTCGAACCCGCGGGCTCAGGCAATCCACTCACTTCAGCCTCCCAAGGCACGGGATTACAGGCTGAGCCACCAAGCCCAGCTACTGCTAGGACATTTTAGAAAGAAAACTACGTTTGTTCATGCTGACCTTTCTCATTGAAATCTATGAATACAAGGGTTTTATTTCTTTGATTTTTATATTTGTATCTCTTTTGACTCATGCTTAAATCTAGGTATCTAATGATATTAACAAATTATTATGTTCATATTAACCTACAATTTGGAATTAATAATGTCAGTATTACTACTGCATGGTTATTGCAAAAGGTTTTAGATATGTTTATGCTTTTTTTCCCCATAGGAATATACAAATGACTGTCTTAAATAATTTATGTGGTAAGCCGGGCTCGGTGGCTCAGCCTGTAATCCCGCGCCTTTGGGAGGCTGAGGTGAGTGGATTGCCTGAGCCCGTGGGTTCGAGACCCGCCTGGGCAGCGAGACCTCATCTCTACAATAAATCAAAAAATCAGCCGGGCGTGGTAGCGCATGCCTGTAATTCCAGCTACTCGGAAGGCTGAGGCGGAAGGATCCCCGGAGCCCAGCAGGCGAGGTTGCGGTTGCCGGGAGCGGCCACTGCACTCCAGTCTGGGCGACAGAGTGAGACTCCAACTCAAAAAAAAAAAAAAAAATTATTTATGTGGTTAAAGTGCCAGCAATCTACATAATTAGGTTCATTTGTTTCATTTTGCTTTTTACTTTTAGGATTTTGTTGTTTTCATTTGATTCATTTTTGTATTGTTTTAAAAAAATTGTTAAGGATTCAACATAGCTTAGCTGACAGTTATGGTTTATTTTAAATAAATAATAACTAAAAGCTTTAGGTTTCTAGAAACAGTGTTTAATCAAGGAAATGTTAAGGTAGTCAAGAAAATATTTCTTGGTTTCTTTTTTAATAGGTGAAGTATTTACTGTAATTAGCAGTTGCCTTTTTTTCTGTGTTCTGACTTGGAGCCCATAACTCTGGAAGGGTAACGCACTACTACCACACACAATTTCTAAGCACTGTTTCTGGGATTTTATATCACTATTTTCTGAGACATTGGAATCATCTCCAAGCCCTGCATAAAACTTGTCTTAACCCCTTAGCCTACTAACTTTGGTTACTCGGGGTTTCAATTCTATAAATAGCTGTTAATCTATCTTTCTAGTGCTAAAGTAATTTTTAGGTGTAATATTTAATAGGTGTAAAATTATATGCTGTGGAAAATCATATACTCTTGGTTGAAATCTGGATTTTAAAACTAGATGAGTGTATTGGGTCATGAAAGTCTGTTTTGGTGACAGCAGTAGCAAAGTTATAAGATTGTAGCTACTATGTCTCTTTTTGGGAGGTTAAATCCTACAATGTATAAATCTGTGATTTCTCTTTTCAGAGGCTGATAAAATACCAGTAATGCGTGGACAGTGGTTTATTGATGGTACTTGGCAGCCTCTAGAAGAAGAAGAAAGTAATTTAATTGAACAAGAACATCTCAGTCGTTTTAAGGGTCAGCAGATGCAGGAAAATTTTGATATTGAAGTGTCAAAACCCATAGATGGAAAAGATGGTAAGATCAATTGATAAATTTAATAAATTCTATAAACCAAGTACATTGTTGATAGAGTAGTTTATACATGTGATGTAATAATTCAGGAGAGTTCAAATTTATAGAAATTTGATTTTTTAAAACATTTGATTATTAATTCTGGATTATAAAACTGCTGTAAATTTCTGAACTATCTCAATTTCTGTCTTAATACATACGTTCAATGGCATGACACTATTATATTTTACATAAATGTACAAATTGTTATCATGAATTAGTCCTTTTTGGTAGTTTTTTAGCTATCAAAGAAAAATGAATTTACCCCAGAATTCTTAGTTGTTATCTCTAAAGAGCAGTTTTGTTACTATTACTTTAATTACCTTTATGTAGCTCTTAGCATCTCCCTATTGATAACCATATCAGTTTTTAATTTAAAACAACCTACTCCTTACATTTTCTTTATTCAGCTTTTGGATGTGTTTGTAATAGTTAAAAATACTATATAATAGCCAAGAATGCCATGTTTTCATTATGCATCTAAATCTTGAGTGAACTTCAAAATATATGGTAAAGTTAAAAATACTTCTATTGTTCCATTTACTGCAGGCAGTGGGATCAACTATTCTGGTGAGTATAACTGTACAGGTAGATTAGAATTTGTAAATTTCTCTAAGTTTTTTTCCTAAAAACGTTTCTTCATCCATGCTTGCTTTTATTTGGGAGGTTTTTTGGTAAGCCCTACTGAATGTAGTAGATTAAAATATGAATAAAGGTATTTTTTTCTTATTATGAAACTTCTCTAAAGCAGAAAAACTGAATATTGCTTAGGTAATTCACAGACTGCAACGTGAAAAAAAATGAATTACGTGGCTGGAAGTAATTGTTTATATGTGACATAATTAATGGCAAAAACAATAAGCTTTAAATTGGCTAGAGTTTTTTTTCCTTCTTTTTATTTTAGTAGCATCATACGTTTTTTCCTCTCTTCCAGTCTTTGCTCTCTCTGACCTCTCTAAACATACATATATACTCATTTGTCACAGGTGAGGAAACCATGTAGTTTAGCTTATATCAAATTAAAACATCTTTTGTATATAGTTGGTTAAAAGTCTACATAAGTAAGGAAACTTGTGACTTCCAAATAAATTGGCGATTAAGGCTACAAATTTATATAATAATTGTTTTCTTTTATGTGGCAGACACCATACTCTAGGAATTCTAAATATATTATTTTCCTAATCTGTAAAGTCAAATATGTTCTTATTTCAGTGTCAGATTTAAGCCAGATTCTTACATATTAGTACATAAAAAGCAGTTCAGTGTAAGAGCTGTAGCTATATTCCTACAGGTTGCCATATAACCAATACTTTGTTCTGACTAGAGCAAAAATAGCAAATTTTATATATCTGTAGTCTTATGTTAGTGACCAAAATATTTTACAACCTCTTGTCACTATTGCCAGAATAATCTTAAAAGTCTAATTCATAGTATTTGAAGGACAGACTTTTTATCATAAAATAATTTTATTGTCTGAGTTCTCGATTTCACCTATTAGCTCTCTTTGAGTCTTTGTCTCAAAAATGACAATTCACCCTAGCAAACCCAGTTTAGCCACCAAATTTCTTACTGTTAATGCAGGAAAAACATCCAGACTTTGGAGAAAAAAAGGATGAACATGAAAAATATAAGTAGATTGTTCCCCTGTCCCATACTGTGTTCAACACATTTTTTTTCCATTTAACTAATTCATCCTGTGGAGGTTAATCGTCAGCTCTGTTGCATCTCTAAATTCTACCCATTGGCAATCTTGTTTGTATTACAATACAAATTAGAATTTCTTGTGTCCTTTTTACCTGTACTCCCTGTATAAATGTTAAATGTAACAGGATATTTCATCTTCTCTGAAAGTGTTCAAATTTAAATAAGACTGATATAAGAACATGGGTTATTTGTGTGAGATTTTTTAGAATGTCTTTGAATATGTATATGTGTGTATTCTGAGGTATCAGTTTCCAGGATATTATGGTAACTGTTTATTATCTTTAAGGGTATACATTGAATGGTAAAATTTTAATTGGTAATAACGAAAATTTGTTAAACTGTCAAAAAACACTTCAGCATTGTAATCTTTCAACAATGATTTTTTTGAGATTCATTAGATGAAGAAAACTTGTTTTTTAAAAAAATGTATTGTGGCATAAAAGTAAAGATTTAGCATGTTTTGTTATTAACAAAGATAAGTATATATACTGTTGTCATAATTTTCGGTCATTTTATTTGTTCATTATTAAGCATACATTTCTATGTTAAGTTGAGACACTTGACTTTGAAATTTATGGGAAATTGTGTACGACATTTGAAAATAATAGCCAATTATTAGGACTTGCTGTCCAAAAAGCCACCACTGTTGGGAAAATACCTCAAACTTATATCTACAAAGACTAAGAAATATTATAATCTTTTTATTATTTTGCCCTTACCTCTAAGCTTCTGAAATTTTATACTTCATTAGTTTGAGAACGGAATATATATTTTCCACCTAAATTTTCTCATGTATGGGTGATAAAGCCTTGGCTTTATCGGGAGGCTTTATCAGTGTCAGGAGGTTTTTAATGCTTCCATGTGTAGATGCAGTTTGTGCTAGGTTCTTCTGTGAAAGAAATAGAGTTTCTTCCCCCAAGGAGTTTTCAACTATGAGAGTCTAAAGCCAACAGATGAGACCAATTACGAAGAAGTACAAGGTAACCTTGTAGGAGACATGACATGAATGTTACATATTCTAAAAAGACATTTGGCATAAAGAAAGCACGTGATCACAGTGTAGTGAAGTTACAGGTAATAACTGAAAGCAACTAAAAATGTGATGCTTAGGGACTCTAGAGAATTTCCAAGAAATTAAACATTTCTTGCCGTCAAGGATGTTAAAATAAGTCCTTTCTCTTCTGACCTTTTCTGTTTGGTTGGAGTAGCTGTTGCCACAGATAAGATGTTCTAGTTGTCTTTTGGTATTTGTGGGGGATTGATTCCAGGACTTCTCACAGATACCAAAATCTGAGAATGTTCACGTCCCTTATATAAAGTAGCATAACGTTTGCATATAACCTACATTCATTCCCCCCATATACTTTGAATCATCTCTAGTTTACTTATAATACCTAATACTATGCTGTGTAAATAGTTATACACTGTATTTTTTATTTAGATTATTTTTACTGACTTGAATTTTTTTCTGTATATTTTTTTATCTGTCACTGGTTGAATCTGCAAATATAATGTGCCAACTGTATTTGATATTTTCCTACTAGTCTTAAAATAAGTATTTACTTGTATTGATGAAAATTTAGTATACCGTGTAACTCTCTTTAGCATACAAATAAAGGTAACCCACAAAAATCCAAAAAATTAGATACTTTAAATTTAGTTCTGAGAGTTAAAATGAAAATTATCTTTTTATTCTACTTCTTGGGTCAGGAGATGTCTATCTAGCAATTTAACAAATAAAGGCCTATTGTTTGACTTGGGATGAGTCATACAAGTAAAATCAGGCCTTGAAATAAGTAATTTAGTAAATACTTAAATCTAGTACTACATTAGTGTTTTGTACATTCTACAATTTGTTTATCCAAGCACATGTAGTAATCAATAAAAAAGATTGAACTGAATGAGAAAGACTGCTCAGCATTCTGGCCAACAAATGCATAAGCTCAGTTCAGTAGTGAGAAGACATCAACCAAACTCGCGTTGGGGGCCAATCTACAAAATAACTGGGCAGGATTCTTCAAAAGCATAATTTTATTTATATTTTATTTTCCCCTTTTTTATTTTAAAAGTGTGGAGTACAATTAAGGGTGAGGTATACAAATATTCATTGTGCAGGTACCCTTGTTGATTGAGGTGTGCCCCCCCCATCCCAGGCAGATATCGACTACTGTCAATCCTACCTTCCCTTCCTCCCTACCCTGCAGTTTCCCACTACTGTCAATCCTTTTCCTTCTTTCTTTTTTTTTTTTTGAGTTGGAGTTTCACTCTGTCGCCCAGACTGGAGTGCAGTGGCGATCCTTCCGCCTTAGCCTTCCAAGTAGCTGGAACTACAGGCGCGCGCTACCACGCCTGGCTAATTTTTTAAATTTATTGTAGAGATGAGATCTCGCCAAGTTGCCCAAGTGGGTCTCAAACCCGCGGGCTCAGGCAATCCACTCACCTCAGCCTCCCAAAGCGTGGGATTATAGGCTGAGCCAACGAGCCCAGTTAATCCTTTTCTTATAATATTACAGTAGTTGTTCAAGGTCCACTTATGAGTGAGAACATGTGATACTCAGCTCTTTGTTTCTGTGAGAGATCACTCAGTATTATAAACTCTAATTCCATCCAGGTTGCTGCGAAGTTCATGATTTTGTTCTTTATGGCTGCGTAATATTCCATTGTGTATATAGGCACTACATATAAAATTATTCCAAAGTAAAGTGTTTTGTTTTGTTTTAAATAGGCCAGTAGAGGAATTAAAATGAAATTCTAAAAAATATTTAGTTGACACAGAAGGAACCAGAAAAGGAGGAACGGAGAAATAAAACAGATGGGAAAAAGAGAAAAATAAGTGGAAAAATAGTAGACCTAAATTCACCTAAATATATCAGTAACCACAGGTATATTTTTTAATATAAGCGAAATAACATTCCAGTTAAAGGTAGTGATTGACAGATTTGATAAGAATGCAAAACCTGACTATATGCTGTCTATAAATAGAGTCACGCTATCTATCATATCAGTATAAAGTCATAGATAGGTTGAAAAATAAAAGAATGGAATTTTTAGTATTCAAGCTAGTTGGTGCTACAGCACAGGTGTTGATGGCTCTGTAAGGATTTACGGTGGGAAAGAATGTATTCCTATCACTGTTGCTGAATAAAGATTGCCCATACTGTAAACATAGCATCTCAAAAGTCAGATAAAGATGGGGTGGTCGGGAGGATTGCCAATCTTTCTTTTTTTTTTTTTTTTTTTTTTTTTTGAGTTGGAGTCTC